ACGCCCGCCCCGCCAAAGCCAAAGGGGCCTGGCTGCGGCCACCACGGTGGTTTTACATCCCAGGGAGCGGGGACGTGGCTGATGAATTCAGCTGGGGGATGCAGGAGGAGAAGGGAGTGGGGAGAATCCCACAGCTCCCGCCAACATCCCCGGGGCTCCTGGCTCAGCGACGGGCTCTGCCCGTGCAGCTCCGTCCGGCTTCTCGCACGAAAGGTGGGGGACAGGGTCTGCTTCGGTAATCCAGCCCCCGCTGGACACGGAGGACAGCGGGGGACACCAGGCAGACATTTCTTCATCTGGTTACGGAGGGAAACCCTCAGCCGCTGTCCCGGGGGCCCTAAGCACAGCAGTGGAAAGGTTTCAAGAAGCTGAGGCCACCGTGTCCATCGCGATATCATTGCTGCGTGCGGTGTTGTCCTCTGGCTCCTCGAAGACCCTTCGGAAGGCGACCTGGAGGTTTGGAGCAGGCGAAGGCTACTGCAGCAAAGAACCAGGTAGCCAGGTGGGCAACCGGCAGAGAGGCCAAAAGTTCCTCCCAATTGCCAGGGCGCCGTGGCGTGGGAGAGGCAGGGCATGGCTCAGGGCGGCGGATCCCTCCGGAGAAGCTCTTCCACAGCCAGGGTAAGAACTGCTGCTGGAAATTCCAGGGAACCTCCAAGATGATAAAGAGGGGGACAGTAAGGAAGATAACGATGTAGAGCCTCCTGAGTTGGCGCTGCTGGGAGGCACACAGGACCTTAATGAAGAGGATTGTGCTGGAAATGACCATGAGTGGGGCAAAGACAAGGAAGTTGAGGACGTACATGGAGATGAGAGCCATCCGGCAGTGCTCGAGGTCGTGCTTATGTGACAAGCACAGAGAAGTCGCTACAGCAAAGAAAATAATGGAGAAGAACCAGCACAGGTCACACATCACATCCGAAAAGTACTGGGGTCGGCGGTAGCGGTACCAGAGTGGGAATAGAATGGACACGCACCTCTCGATGCTGATGGCTGTCAGGAGGTACGCTACTGTGTTGTAGGAGAACAGCGAGAGCTGGGAAAGCGAACTCAGTGACAGCGTGGGCAGGTTAGCAGAGCAGGAGGCATTCTCTATCATGTAGAGGAGGGATGAGATGGCCATGAAGAGGAGGAAGATGAAGTTGATGAAGGCCAGGCTTCGGAAGTAGACGGTTATGGGATTCTTGCGGATGCGTAAAACGAGGATCCAGAGGACGGCCCCGTTCCCCACCAGCCCAATGAGGCAGACGAGCAGTGTGACACCGTCTATGGCCATGTCGGTGACATCTATCCTGCACAGGTCGTCTCCATCGGTCTCTGGCACGGGAGATGTGGGAGGTGGGGGTGTCCGGTTCGG